CACTGTCACCCTGGAATGCAGTGGCATGACCACAGCTCACCACAGCCTTGATCTCCTGGGCTCAGTGATCCTCCCAAGTAGCTGAAACTACAGATGCACATTACCGTGCCTGGCTAATTATTTTAGTTTTTGTAGAGATGGGATGCGGGTGGAGTCTCACTCTTTTGCCTAGACTGGTCTCAAACCCCTGGGCTCAGACTGTCTTCCCATCTCGGCCTCCCGAAGTGCTGGGATTTATAGGCAGGCATGAGCCAATTGTGCCTGGTTTCCCATTTTCATAGAAGTCATAAATCCTTAAAATGTGGGCAGCCTGTTCCCATTTTGTTAGCTGAAGACTGAGTAACACACACGCGTGGGCTCCATATGACCTGGAGGCCACCAACTTGAGATCTCTGTCCCTTTCTACACTGCCCTTGTCACTCCTGAACTGGAATGCCAGATAAAACAGGATGCCCAGTTAAATTTGAATTTCATATAAATAAAAAATAATGTTTTAGTATAAGTATGTTCCATGCAGTATTGGGAAAACAATAAGTTATTTGTTGCTTACCTCAGATGCTGGTTTCACTGGGCATTGTGTCTTTTTATTTGCCGCATCTGGCAGTCCCATTCCTGGGGTACCTGGCATGGGACAATGACATCTGTTCTTTTTTTTTGAGTTGGAGTCTCACTTCGTCACCCAGGCTGGAGTGCAGTGGCATGCTCACAGCCATCCAAGTGTTGACTTGCTAGGCTCCGGCAATCTTTTCGCCCCAGTCTTCCAAGTAGCCAGAACTACAGGCATGTGCTACCGCACCCGGCTAATTTTTGATTTATTGTAGAGACAAGATTTCGCCAAGTTGCCCAGGCTGGTCTCGAACTTGCGGGCTCAGGCAATCCTCTCGCCTTGGCCTCCCAAAGTGCTGGGATTACAGGCTAAGTCACCAAGCCTGGCTGGTATCTCTTCTTTAAGATGCAACCTCCATGGACCTTGGACCTTCTATTAACTTTCTTATTCTCTGTTGACTTGGCTTTTTCCTCCAAGAATGTCTGGGGGGATTGGGGTCTGTGGGATTTCTCAGTGGCTAGTTTCCAAACTGGCTTCAAAGACTGGATGAGTGGAGTTGGCAAGATGTGTGGTCAACTTGACTGAACCACTTAGTACTCCTCCCCATGATCCTGATGTAATTAGGATCTGTCTGTTTAGAAGGTGGTAGAAAAAGCCCATCTTGAGTTTATTTATATCTGTGGCCTTTTTTTTAAAAAGAGAGAACGAAAAATCTGAGTCCTCTCACTTGGCAGTCTACTTTAAACAAATGGTTTTCTGCTAAAATAGACCAGCCACACTGTGGGTAGGAGGGGTGAGATGGGAGGGGGCTGGTGGGCGAGAACAATTTTTCCCCCTGATGTTAAGGTGGCAGTGTGTGCAGTTTGGGACTTTGACATCACTTCTGGCTCTACCCAGGTGGACCAGACGTTTTTACAGGTAGAGGAGTTGACTGGTGGTATTTATCGCGGTGCATGCCAGGTGGCCTCAAACATCTTGTCTTACCTTCTAACAGGTCTAAACATAGCTCTTGACTGGGTGTGATGGCTCATGACTGTAATCTCAGCACTTTGGGTTTTTTTTTTTTAGTTGGAGTCTCACTCCATTACCCAGGCTAAAGTTCAATGGCACACTCACGGCCACCCCAGTGTTGACCTGCTGGACTCCGGCGATCCTTCTGCCTCAACCTTCCAAGCTGGAACTACAGGTGTGTGCTGCCACGCCCGTCTAGTTTTTGATTTATTGTAGAGACGAGGTATCACCAAGTTGCCCAGGCTGGTCTCGGACCCGGACCCGTTGGCTCAGGCAATCCACTTTCCTCGGCCTCCCCAAGTGCTGGGATTATAGGCTGAGCTACTGGGCTCCCCATCCCAGCACTTTGGGAGGCCGACACAGGAGAATCGCTTGAGCCCGGGAGTTTGAGACCAATCTGGACAACATAGCGAGACCTCATCTCTACAAAAATAAAAAAATTAGCCAGGTGTGGTGACACACACCTATAGTCCCAAGTAGCCCAGGAGGTCAAGGCTATAGTGAGCCATGATTATGCCACTGCACTCAGCCTGGGCAACAGAGTGAGATCCCAACTCAAAAATAGATAAATAAATAAATAAGCCTCTCTAAGTCTGGTTTCTCCCCCACTTGAGTTATAATAACAACTGCAACATAATAACTTCCCTTTAAAAAATTTACCCCCTTGGGTCTTCTCCCACTTTGGGAGCTTTTCTGACCTCTCCATAAATCCTATTTCCCCTCCCCCCACCAAAAAATTGGCAGCCACAAAAAAGAATGAAATCACATCCTTTGCAGCAACATGGATGGGACTGGAGATCATCCTCCTAAGTGAACTGACTCAGAAATAATAACCAAGCACTGCATGTTCTCACTCACATGGTGGAGCTAAACAGTCACAAAGATGGAAGTAATAGACACTGGGGACACAAATGGGGGGGTTAGGGTTAGGGTTCAGAAACTACCTACAGGGCACAGTGTTCGCTATGTGGGGAATGGGCCACCTGAGACCCAATCCCCACCACTACACAATATGTCCACGTAACAAACACACGGGTGCCCCCTGAGTCTAACATTAAAAAAGGAAAATAAATAAATAAAACTACCCGATTTCAAGACTTAAAAAGTACACTGAAAAAAAAAATTCCTACCAGACTCCGTGCCAAAAACTTTACAGGTTTGTTTTATTTTTGTTTTGTTTGAGTTGGAGTCTCACTCTGTCGCCCAGGCTAGAGTACAGTAGCACGCTCACGGCTGCCACAGCCTCCATCTGCTGGGCTCCAGCAATTCTTCCACCATAGCCTGGGCATGCGCCGCCATGCCCTGCTTGTTTTTTGATTTATTGTACAGACACGATCTCCTAAGTTGCCCGACCTGGTCTCGAACCCCCGGGCTCAGACAATTCTCTCGCCTCGGCCTTCCAAGGTGCTGGGATTACAGGCTTGAGCCAGCATGCCGGGCTTACAGGTTTTAAATAATCGATTCTTCATCTCAAGTCTACCAGTGAGGCAACATTATCCCAGTTTCACAGATAAGGAAGCCGAGATGGGGCAAGGGAAGCGACTTGCCTCAACCACCCAATAATGGCTCTGCCCACGTCTTCCTTGGCACCTCCAGACTCCTCCTCACCCTTGTTCTCTCTATTCGATGCTCCTGGTGTATGGGCCGTATCAACGGCTCCTTATCCTGTGGCTTGAGTTCCCCAGTGGGAGCCTCAGCAGAAGATGCAAGAGGTACGTGGGGGAGGATGAGATGTGCATCCCCATCAGTCCATACCTCAGGCTGGCCGCCTTTCTTTGACAAAAGCCGCAGGATTCCAAGAGCAGCCCTACTTGACTTTCTCGGGCTCTGGGATGGGTTCCTTCCCTGGCCCCTTCAGGTGGAGGGAGTGCGTCGTGGTTCAGCGCTAGTCCTTGTGAGTCCTCAGATCCTGTGTGCACCCTCATGTTATTCTCTCTCTCTCTTTTTTTTTTTTTTTTTGAGTTGGAGTCTCACTCTGCACCCAGGCTGGAGT